GGCAGGACGAGGAACAGGTGGTCCGGGCCTCTCTGGTTCTTTTCAGAGAACCTCGTGGATCGGAAAGGCGCTTTCCGGACTCCCTCTCCCCGTCAGCGTCCTTCCTAGAACGGCCTGGTGGTCAGCCGGCCCCGCACGCTTCCCCCAGCGGCAGGGCTCCCACGCCAGCTCAGGGTCCCCGTGCTTAGACGCCTCGGGTGGGAGAGATAACATGACGTCACTGTATTAGGAATCATTACAAAGGGGAGCAGCTACTAGCATTCATAGGGCTTTGCTGTGTGCCAGCCAGTTTCCACCCTTGTTTCCAGCTCCCCCAAAGCAGACCCCGAGACAAGGGTCCGGGGGTGATCCCCGGGAGCAGGGAAGGAGGGGAGCCGGTGCAGGATAAGGGCAGGTGAGGCTCAGTCCCACAGGTGCCCTCAGATTTGTCCTCTGGAGGGGCCTGGAGGCTGGGGTACCATCCACCACTCGCCCCCCACCCTGGGCACGCCGTCCCTGGCTTTTCCTTCCAGTTGCCCTCGACACAGAAGCCAGGGGCTGGAGGTGGGCGGTCGGGACCTGTCTCCCACGGCTATGATGAGCACCGAGGGCGGAGGAGCAGGCCAGTGACTGCTCCCGACAAGGCTATGAGGGCGACACCGTCGCTTCCGTAACTTACACAGGGAAACTGAGGTGCAGGGAAGCCGTGCCCAGGCGGAGGGCACGCAGCTGTGGAGGGCCACGTGGGCTGCCACCTGAAGTTGGCTGGGCCTTTAGTTCTTTGTGTCCACCCTTCTCCTGCCTTCTGGTCAGGTGGCCACCCTGGGAGCCGCAACACGGCTTCCCAAGTTACTGTGCCCTGTGTGTGTGTGTGTGTGTGTGTGTGCATGTGTGCACGTGCATGCAAGCAGGTGCAGGTGTGCACGGGCTGCACATGTGCATAGGTGTGCATGAGTGTAGGCGCATGCACGTGTGCAGGTGTGAGCGCATGCACACATGGACGTGTGTGTCTATGCATGTATGTGTGGAGGCATGTGGGTTAGGGTAGCTTCTAGCCCTGGGTCCAAGCTCAGTCTTCCCAAGGCCACAGAGCCCTCTCTCAGACCCTCCCCCGGTGTCCCTTAGCCTGTGAGGACCCAGAGCCTGTCTGGCACCCCTGCGGGCATCTCTCCTCAGGCCAAGCCTTCCTGCCCAGCCTGGCTGCTCTCCCTGGCCAGTCACGTCTTGGTCATTACTCGGCAGTGGGAGGGACAGCCCGTGGCCTGGCCTCCAGGTGTTCCAGCCGCTGGGTGACAGCGCACCGTGTGCTGTCTGTCTGTCTGTCTGTCCAGGAGCTGCAGTGTGACGTGTCCGTGGAGGAGGACAGCCGGCAGGAGTGGACCTTCACCCTGTATGACTTTGACAACAACGGGAAGGTCACCCGTGAGGTGAGTGTGCCCGCCTGACCTCTGGCCCTGGGCCGTGCCCTGGGGCACGGGGGTGCTGGTCCTGTGCCAGGTGACTGCCCGTCCCCTCTGTGAAGGCAGGGCCTGTGCCTACAGGTGAACTGAAGCGGGAGGGTGCAGGGAGCGGGTGTGGTGGGAACGAGGCTAGGCAGGTGCTGAGCCCCGAGGCCTGCTGGGAGGCGGCGTGTCTCAAACAGGCAGCTCCCACAATGCTGGTCTAGCCCCGGATGTTCTGGCCCAGCCCCGCAGAGGGTTTGGGTAAAAGTTAAATGAGCGCAGGCAGGAAAAGTGGAAGTAGATCAAGGGGACTCCGTCAGAATGTAAACGCGGTGCCCCCGAGGACAGGACCTGCGGAGTGCAGGGCAGCCTGCGGGATGCAGGAAACATTTGCAAATCCTCTATCTGATACGGGAATAACAGCCAGAATACTGTGTGTGGAGAACGCCTAAAATGTCCCATAAAAAATGAAGTAATTCTATCAAAAATGGGCAAAGGACTTGAATAGACTTTTCTCCAAAGAATATGTACCAATGGCCAATCCGCACATGAAAAGCTGCTCACCGTCACCGATCACCAGGGAAATGCCAGTCGAAACCACCATGAGACCCCACCTCACACCAGAGGATGGCTGCGCTACCGACAAACAGAAAACAGCAAGTGTTGCCCGGCCGGCGTGGCTCATGGTTGAGCGTCAGCCTATGAACCAGGAGATCACAGTTCGATTCCCAGTCAGGGCACAGGCCCGGGTTGCGGACTCCATCCCCAATGGGGGGCCTCCAGAAGGCAGCTGATCCCTGATTCTCTCTCATCGTGGATGTTTCTCTCTCCCTTTCCCTTCCTCTCTGAAATCAACAATTATATATATATACATATAATTTTTTTTTAAAGAGAGAAAATAAAGTAAGTGTTGCCGGGCAGGTGGCAAACTTGGAACCCTGGGCACTGTTGCTGGGGTGTCAAATGGCACAGCTGCTGAGAGAAGCAGCATGAGGGTCCTCAAAACATGATACACAGAACCCCCAGCCCCCCACTTCTCGGTATGTGTCAGGCCTTATTGAAAAGAAGCGTCCTGAAGAGATAGATGCCTGTACATCCACGTTCGTAGCCCCATCAGCCACAACAGCCCCAGCGTGGACGCAAGCCAAGTGCCCGTCGGCCGATCAGGATCAACCCCCTGAGGGCTGCACCTGCCGTGGAATATTACTCAGCCTTGAAAAGGGAGGGGATCCTGGATCTGCTGGCTGCATCGCGATGAGCCTCGAGGACATTGTGCCGAGTGCAATGAGCCAGCCACTGACGGACAGATGCTGTGTGATTCTGCTCATAAGAGTTGCCCACAGGAGTCAGACACATAGACAATGTAGAATGCAGGTTGCCAGGGGCAGAGGGGAGAGGGGGATGGAGAATTGAGAAGAAAAATTAGTTGCCGGTATCAGAGGTTCTGGAGATTTAACAGGAGGCTGGGCCTGGCTCCTCGGAGATGCTCCCAGCCCGCGTGGGCCTCGGGCGGCCGCCTGCTGTGGGCGGGGCCAGCACACACCTGCCTGGCCAGGGCAGTGCTTGCGGGTGGGGGTGAAGGGACGGCCCAGTCTGTCTGTGTCCGGGCAGGGTCGCTGGGCAGGTCATTGCCCACCCGAGGCCGTGGCCCGGAGAGCGCACATCCCCGCTGCAGACGCGCTGTGGCTAAGGCCGCGCGCGGTTTCTGCTTCCCTCCCGCTGCCAGGACATCACCAGCCTGCTGCACACCATCTACGAGGTGGTGGACTCCTCCGTCAACCACTCCCCGACGTCCAGCAAGACGCTGCGGGTGAAGCTCACCGTGGCCCCCGACGGGAGCCAGGGCAAGAAGAGCATCCTCCTCAACCACCCCGGTGAGGGGCAGGCCAGGGCGCTGGCGCTGGGAGCTACCCTGCGGGCAGGTGGGGTTGTGGCAGGTCCTTGAGGGGGTGGGGTTTGGGTAGAGAGAGGATTCCAGGTGGAAGGCCCCAGGGAGCACAGCACGGCTGGGCAGGTGTGTGGCCGGCAGCCAGGGCAGAGGCTGTGTTGTGTTGTGTTGTGTTGTGTTGTGTTGTGATGGGTGGGCCGGCCGTGGAGCCCAGGCCTGCAGTGTGGGGAGGAGCTGAGCAGGACGGGTGGCTGTGAGACCCCTCGGGTCTGGTCCTGGCTCTGAGAAGCCTGGCCACTGAGCCATTGGGCAGCTGCTGGGGCCAGCAGCTTGGAAAACCTGGGCAGGACCCGGGGGCCGGCGGGGACAGGATGCAGCTGCTCACGGGCCGTGTCTTGGGCGGGACTCAGACCTGCAGAGCACCAGGCCCAGAGCGGAGACCAAGCCGGCGGAGGAGCTGCGAAGCTGGGACAAGAAGCAGCGAGCCCCCCTCAGGTA